ATCAGATCGAGAGAAATAAATAATGCATTACGGAATTATTTGTAGGTAATTTTTTTGTACACAATTGATATCCCCCTTTTCGAAACTTCTTTTAAGATTATAATTACTATTGCGTTCCGCTTTTATATTTTTGTTGTTGTCAAATCACAAGCGTAGGAAATATGTATTTGAAGTTTTTTTTTTGTCTTAGTTCACCCTATATAGCAGTCCTCTTTCGTCTGCTTTTATATTCGGCTAATGTAAATGAACGGAGAAGTGAATGTTAAAAGAATAAAATATTCATCGCGATAGTCCCATAGAAAGGTTCGACGATTGACCAAGAGCAAAGAAACGAGGTCGTCGTCGACGACGATGACGATGACGAAGACGAAGACGAGAAATTCCATGTTGAATCTCAGGAGAGAAAAGCGGGGAATAAACGGGTACGGGAAGGGTAGTTTTGTTGGTACTTTGGCCATTAAGTTTTTCCCTTGATAGACTTGTGTACGAGTGTGGAATGAACGAGTTGCTGACTTCTACTCGGATACTATCGTTGACTCTTCGGTCAAACACACTTTTCTAAACGATAATTAAATTGACGAGACGACACTTCACTGGCCAAAGTTCTTTTTCGTATAAAAAAAAGTTCACGCATTAAGTTAACCCGCAAATTCAGATTAAATTTATCCATATTTTATACAATTTTTGTATCTTTCTTTTATCTTGCTTTTGTTTTGAAATTTAAATTTTGTAAATGGTTGTAATTTTCTTATTAAACAACGTGTACACCACGTGGGGTGGTGCAACCGGGTTAGAAATGATTCATCGGTTTATATGAACACGAGAAAAATTATAAATTTCAGTTGAAAATAAATGTATTCTCTCTTGAGGATAAAAAAAGAAATTTATTTAAGGATAGTCTTACGGGTGTTTTTGAGGATAAAAGTTTGTTGATTGTCTTCGATCATTGGTCAATAAATTATTATTCAACTCGCGTTCGTGTATGTTAGAAAGGAAAGAAAAGTACGGCAAGTCGCTGGGGAAAAGTTGGATGCAAACACGTAAAAGAAATGCTACTTCTTAAAGTTTCTTTCTCGAGGAAAGTTTTTCTTTTTTTTCTTTTTTTTCTTTTTTTTTTTATTTATTTCTACGAACTATTGTTTTATCTTCTTTTCTTTTATTTTTACGATCGTAATAATACAATTTTTTATACTCCTCATTTATTTTATATTTAAAAGATTCCGTTTAACCGAATTGATGATTTTCATTTTATTATAAAAATGGACTTTGAAGTTTTACTTTGGGAAAGTATAAAACAATTAGTTTATCGTATAATTGAACTATATAACAAATTAATAACCCAATCGCGTAATTGTTTTAATTAAAAAACAAAATTTGTGTCCTTTAGGAAAGTGCGATTGTTGAATAGGAACATTTGGTAAAGAGATTTATTCGTTGGATAATTCGTAAAACTAGGTCGTACTGTCAAAACAAATTCTGTGACTCAACAAATTAATTCATATAAAATTGTTTACTCCTTTATGGGACTTTCAAAATGACCAGTTTAATTGTACAAAGTGACACACTCTCTCTGCTAGCTTTGGGAATAGATTAAAGTTTACGATTATTTCTCGAGTTAAATTTTGTCGGTGTCGTGTCCAGTTCTCGTCTGGAATCGAAACATTGTCTACGACTAGTTATCACCCTTTTCTCTCTTTCTCTCTCTCTCTCTCTCTCTCTCTCTCTCTCTCTCTGGAGACTAAGAATAAATTTGTTTTAATCGATCACTAGATGCAAAGGATTGATTCGATCGTTTGTTCAAGACTCGTCTTGTTGTTATCGTAGCATATTCGTTCAAATATTCTTATCCAATGTGGGAACTATCCAATCGATCTCAATCGATCTATGTCGACCGTGACCTACATCCTTCGATTTCCATAAATCGATGTTTAAGCTTTTCAACAAAGTGCATTGTAGATTTTATCGAGTTGAATTTTGGAGAAATTTCAAAATGTGAATCCTTTGATATGGAAAGGCTCCTCCTCGACGTATCTCGTTAATGGGATCACTATGAAAATTGGAAGAATCGGATTTGTATTTTAATTATCAAATATATTTGTTACAAGTACTCTCTTCAAAAGAGATTTATTCTTTCTCTTTTTCTTTTTCTTTTTCTTTTTTTCGGTCTCTTCAGACTTTTTCATAGTTTTCCTTTCTATTAACGTTACCGAAGCAAACGACGATAAGTGAATTTATTTTTCATATATTCTATCCTTGTGCATTGGCGTTTATTTGCAGCAGCGGTTGTAAAAAAAAAAAAAAACAAAAGGGTTGCGTGCATTTTTTTTTTTTTTTTCATTTTTTAATTAAGACGATGCGATGGGACGTGCCAGAAATTTACAAAATTAATTATCGCTCGTTAATCATATTATCTAGTAGTAGTAGTAGTAGTAGTAGTAGTAGTAGTAGTAGTAGTAGTAGTAGTAGTAGTAGTAGTAGTAGTAGTAGTAGCAAGTAGCAGTAGTCGATAGGATAAAACAAACACGTTGAGATTGCAGATATATAGTTACTGAGAAAACTAGGGCTACATGATGAGCTCATGATTTATGATTCTTATGTACTCTAATCTCTCACGGATTTTCTCTACACATCTTTTTTACGTGACTCTATTGATCAACGAGTATATTCCTTTTTTTCCTTTTTTTTTATCGTTCTTTTCTTTTTCGTTACATTTAATGATCATTGATGCACGCTCATTCGGCTTATATTTTCGTACTTTTTTTCTTATAAAGTGCACTTTTGAAATTAAACGAGTTGCACAAGTTTTTCAAATGGAATCAAATGAAAAATTGTTTAAATCGTTTCTTTTAAGAGAGAAAGAAAGAAGAAAACAATAAAGATAGGCTTTAATTGTATCAGAAAAATGACACAATGATACAAAGCTGATAAACGAAGCGAATTCTATTATAGTAGTAGTACAGGAATGAACTTCTTTGATCGGTCTAGGAGCTTGTAGATAAGTGGGTACATAGTCATCTCCAAAGGAACTGCCTTCAGACGTAATTGTCGAATTTCATCGACGTCCGAGTCAATTCATTGAGTTTACCTGTTTCCCGGTATACCGAACATTACGGAAGTAGAGTTAATATACTGGCTAGTTGAGATTGTTAGAGATCGCGTTTACTTCGAAGCGTACATGCATCGTCTTCCTTCCTTTCAAACAATATCATGGTCCATGATCGGACCAGTGGTTTTCCCCCAACGAATTACTGTCACGTTAAACTCGTTATCACTAATTACATTTCAGATATTACTTTGATCAAAAACAAGGCGTATATATACAATATAATATTATTATACAATATATTATACGATATATGTGCGACACAAGTCAAATTCATTTTTATTAAAACGAAAAATAATTTGTCTTTTTTGTTTTTCTATTTTTAAATAAGATAATAAAAAACAAACTAATATAAAATAAATTGAAAATATATAGTCTATTTCTTTTCTTTCTCTTCAAGAGTTCATTAGCCAGTTCATATATTTCTCGAAAGCATCGTTCGACCTTTGCCCTTTGTGTCACCACTAGAAGAGTGACAGACTTGCAATTACGTCGAACATACGACAAGGGCCATTAATATTGTAATTTGATAATCGAAGAATATACGAGAATGGAACGAACAGACCAATTTGGAAAACTATTTTTCGCTTAGAGTATCCTTTATCGTTGGGGTCCTTTAATTTGCATTTCACGAACAACAGAGTGTTAGTTTTCAAAATTACTGAACAAACCTGACATATTTTGTAGATCGATATTAAACGTTAGATTTTTTCGATAGGTACGTAATTATTCTTTAGTCAGATATTTCGTCAATTTATTAATTAAATCGATCGTTACAATTGATACTAACTCGTCAATTAAATCAAATAGGACAATATCATTTTTGTTCAATCAATTCAGATATCTCGATGTATTGTAGTTCATGAATTATATCGAACATAGGAACTGTCGAAGCTTTCAACGTAATAAAAGTTGCTTTTGTAATCGCGTAGGAAAGGAATTTAAGAGTCTTGGTAACTTGATGGATGAAGACACTTTCAGTCGCCACAAAATCCAATAACAAGGAACTCTTTTCATGAGATTTTAGAATAGATAGTATAGCCTTTCTATCTTAAATTCACTCTCTCTCTCTCTCTCTCTCTCTCTCTCTCTCTCTCTCTCTCTCTTTCTCTCTCTCTCTTTCTCTCTCTCTCTTACTTACTTTCGATTGATCTTTTTTTCTTCCTTCCCTCTTGTAAAGTTCTCTTCACCGTCACTTCTATTCTAACACCGATCGATCTATTTGCTTATCTCTTATCCATAGCACGAAGAACTTATCGCACAGTATGTCATATTCGAGAATGTATAGAATATTCTATAGATATTCTATCTCTTTTCGTTTGGAAAATATATGCTACAATTGTCATTATAGGTGGATTAACTCGATGAAAAGATAAATGAAATATGGAATCGTTGGAATGAAAGGAAAATTTATCGAGAGAGAAAGAGGCAGAGATTGCTGTATAAATTTCAACACGAGATTGCTTGAATTCAAACAAAACTGATCAACGTATATATATATATATATATATATATATATATATATATATACAATATAATACATATGTAATTAGATATATGCGAAATCTTTTGTAAGTTATTCATTTGAATAGATGCGAAAACCATTGTAGAATATCGATCGACGTATTGCGTTTTAAATACGAGAATATTTCTATTTTTTAAAATACATCATGATATTTGATAATGCAAATCGTATAAGTATACCCCAATTGGGATTATTCGAGTATTGCTTTGAGTTTTAAAGGTAGATTGAGAGATTGGGCAAGTATAATAATTCGAGATCTCTACAATTTGTAACAATTTTGTTAGTTTACGAAGGTAAATCAAAAAAAAAAATTCATCTGATAATATAATATAATATAAAATAAAATGATTAAAAACGAGAGAATGTACTCACGTGGGCCATGATAGCAGGATAATCCTGAGGATATAATAGTAATGCTCCAACAAGATGAGCAATCGAAAAACAGATTCCAGCGATACAGGCATGTCGTAACCTAATCGGTAAAAGAGCATATGCCATGTAGATGAAAAAGCAAACTGCCCAAGCAGCTGCCAATGGTCCACCAGTACGAAGTTCTTTCGTTCTCATAGTGAACAATGAAGACGAGGGTATAGGAGACGACGTCGAAGACGAAGATGACGAGGAAGATGCTTCGTTCTCATCGTCTTCGTAATTTTTCTGCTGAATCTCGTGCAAGTAGGCCAAATGAATGTTCAGGGTAACTTGTAAAGCCAACAGTGTCACCAATACGGCACCACTGACAACAGCCAACCAAATCTCGTTCATTCCAGGCCTCGAAATGGCTGCTACTAATGCTGATTAAATACAAAATCAAAAATAACAAAATTTTAGACTTTTGTATTATTACGTTTTTCCTTTTCTTATTCTCTCTCTCTTTGATCGTTTTTATTATTGTATATTTTTTATTTTTATCAGTATTATATATTTATATTATCTTTATATATAAATAAATAATATATATATTGGTATAATTTTCTTCATTATCATTTTTTTATATTAAGACAAAATTGCAATTATTATTAATCAATTCAATATTTTTTTTTTTTTCTTTACTCTTCAATCGAGGAAAAAGAAAAATATATAATATATCATAGTTCAATTAATGAGATTTTTCATAGGGAGTTCCCCTTCGTTATTACTATCCATTAATATCCGAGAGTATGGAACATTGTAAAATATGATTGCGTGTAAAGGAGAAAAAAGAAATAAAGAAAAAGAGAGAGGAGAGAGAAAAATATGAAGAAAAATAGTTGGGTTCTTCCTGAAAGGCAAAATACAAAAAACGGTTTTTCTTCTTTACAAAATGGAATATATAGGGTATTTAGTAATATACTTATATATACTCAGATACAGGTGCATGAATAAAGATATACAACATATTTCATGATAACTAATTCAATTTTCAGATACGTTACAATTAGGAAAATTTGTTGAAAAAAAAAGTAATATGCGTGCAGTTAATTTGGATATACGTTGATCAAATAAATATATTTAATATGATAACGTAATAATTTTGAAGATTATGTGAGAAGGATATGTTAACAATTGTTTCTACCTAGTTTTTTTTTTTGTGTATTATTTTTTAGAATGAATACTTACCTGCGTAAACGATGATACATATGACGAGGGTAATTGCGAGAGAAAGATTTTCGGATCGTCGAAGGAGCATAAGTAAGGGTTCGTCATCAGTTAGAATCAATCTAACGATGAGTAGCATTCCCAAAGCGAATGCCAATCCTGCTAGTAGACCTAACACGTGTGTCATGTTACTCTGATTCATGCGAAGGAAATAACGTTGGTAGAGCATTTCCACCTGAAATTAGAAAGGCAGATCGTATGGCATTAGAGACGATCGAATTATTAATATTCTCAAGACATTCTGCCAATCTCTCTCTCTCTCTCTCTCTCTCTCTATATATATATATATATATGCATACATGTAAGAAGTATGTATGCATGTATCAAAGGCATATCAAATTGTGATCTGAAATCTAATACATACTACTCGTTAAAATATTTTTCATTAAATTTGATCGATCAAACTTATTTTTTTTATATAAGTACCGATTATTATTATTCGATATATTATATTTTATTATTGCAAACGTGTATGAACCATTTATCAAATCATCAAATAAGATAGAGAGAGAGAGAAAGAGAGAGGTTTCCTTTTCTCTTCAATTTTTTCTTCCTCTCTAATTCGGATCGATATTCCCTATATATATATATATATATATTATATTATATTTTTACTGTATACTCGTGTGTGTTTGTATTAGCCATTTATCAAAGGTCTCCTTATCTAGTATCATGCAACAAAAGAAATCGCATACGATGTTGGGTAAATACATATATGGATTACTCGTAAAAAGTCATACGATTATCGAGAATTATCGAGAATTATCGAGTTCCCATAGCGACTGATAGAGAGCTTTCCTGAAGATGGAAGTCACTAAAAGCTCCGCGACCTATCAATTTCTCTCTTATTCCTTTCATCTTGAAAAGCTACACATTTATGGATAAAAATAGACGCCTCGTGTGCACATAATCTAATAATTATTTACGATATTTCAAACAATGTTTTTCCATTTTGTCGTAAATTTGTTCCTTCGTTTTAATGTACTCTACAAATTTATTAAAAATTCATGCAAATTTTCGAAATCCAATTGTTGTAAACCGGACGAAGGGTTAATATCCTATTCGTACGTACACATACATATATATATATATATATACACATATATACTCGTTACTTTTTTTTATTTGTCTTACTTACAGTAGCTTGAGATTTTGTTTCCTTCCCCTCCCTCCATATTCTAAGCACATCCCACTAAAGCACATTTTACTGACATTGTGTAGACATTTTTGTACATTGTTAACATTTTGTACATTTGTTTCATTTAAAGGAGATTAAAAACATTTAATATTGGTGTTCTAAACACATTCACACCTGAAGCATATATTCTAGATTGACCAAAATCCTTCTGTCATTCCATACAATATATTTCTATATATTCCCTTCCTGTTTCTTCCTTTTGTCTCTTTCACTCGTATCATCGTCACGAATCACTATTTATAGCGATATTGGTATAAAGATTAAATACGGATTAACGTAAGCAAATAATGAAAAGATTTCAATAATTTAGAATTGCGTCATAATATCGAACGCGATTTTATCAGTAATATATATAACCGTTTTCGGTTATTTCAAAAATTGATAAATATCATTTTTCGTCGGTAACGTCTCAAAGCTATCATGACGATTATTATCATCGAAACATCATAGAAAAGTGTATATATATATATATATATATATATATATGTTTGTGTCCTATGTGTGTGCATGTGTTACGTTCATGATCGATAGCTTGATGAAACTATGTAAGTAACATTTGGAAAATCATCGTGATTTATTCATAAGAATTGCGATTAATCAACTGACTTTTAAATTTTGTTCGTTGATCGATCATCCAAAAAGAAAAAAAGATGAGTGTTTAATTTATTATTTATTTTCTATTTAATCAAAATCTTCGCGCAATTTTTTTTTTTTTTGATACTTGATTTATTATACTTTATTTATTTTTGTTTGTTTGAAACATCAAGTGTATCATGCGTAAATTTGACGTCGAAATATAGTATTACTATATATAAATATTTGATTTTATAGTAGTAGTAGTTTTTTATATACGTTTATATGGGTTTATATTTATAGAAACAATTTTTTGGACATTCAGTGTGGCACGAGTACAGTTCACGATGAAATATAACGTTACTTTAGATATTTTCTTTTATTCTATTTTTTACGTATATATGTATGAATTGTTTGAATATTTATGCGAAAGCTTTCACTATGATATAGCATCTATCCGTAGTACGTGAAACGCAGAACGTAGTATATCTGTGATTAAATTAAAACGTGGATAAACAAACAAAATATTCGTGACAATTTTATTCTAGAAAAATATTCTTTTGGTATTTCAATTTCGATGCATTTTAGAGATGCATTTTAGAGATGCATATTAGAGATGCATATTAGAGATGCATATTAGAGATGCATTTTAGAGATGCATTACTATACTATAATAAAAGTTTCTTCTTGAAAGCATTCTAATTAGATGAAGCATAAAATACATTAAAAGTTTAAAAAAAGATATTATTCTTATTATATTGATATTGGATGGTTGGGAAATTAGATTTGCCATGATTCATCGATATTTTTATGCCAATAAAAATCTAAATTTTGAAAATGGAAGCTTTCAGGAAGCTGCTTTCGTTGGTGTTCTACTCTAAACCCGTTGATTAATTAAATCTATCATGTTACACGTTAAAGTTACCTTCTTGATAACGAACACGCGTCTTCGATAACATATTATATATAATATATTATACGTTGTATACGGGCTTTCATCTTAGGGGTGCGTAAAACAGATTATAAACTCAATCGTATTCGCAAATGCAGATTTAACTCGAGAAAATAAATGATCTGTATTTCGATGAAACCATTAGACGAACGTTATCCAATCTTGTATCGATTAATTTCCATTAAATATTTTTGAGACAGTGAAGATGGAGGGTGGAGGGCTTAAGCTCCGGAGCTTCATAAAATCTACCATTTTCTTATTGAAAATAATATCTTGTTAAGTTTTTTTTTGTAATTTACCTGGAGATTTTTGAAGTGATGTGATGCACAAAGGGAGCTTAAAAATCTGCAGAAAGCGCATCTCCTTGATGGTTCAGTTATTATCGGACTAGAAGCAGTTTCCGTTATTGATTCTTTCCCAACAATATTGATACCAACAGCGACTTCCGATCCTCTGTTCATCTGTAAATTATTCATCATGATCATAATTAATTTAACGTTGTTATAGTTAATCAATTTGTATAAACTTGTTATATACAAACAAATGTTCAATATTTTCGAGATATATTTAAATAAATAAATTTCAACTAGGCAAACGATTTTCAGAGAGTTTAAGTTAAAAAAAAAAAATAGTACAAATAATAGATTGGCTAAGTTGCAAGGTAATTAGTAAAACGAATTACTATTTTCCTGGGAAAATAATAAATTGATTTTGATAATCATTTCTGGGAACATTGTCCATATTATTTTATATATTTTTCCTTGTATTTTCCTTGTATTTTCCTTGTATTTTCCTTGTATTTTCCTTGTATTTTCCTTGTATTTTCCCGACATATTTTTCGTTTAATTAATAATTCATAAATTTTCATAATTCATAAATAATTCATATATATATATATATATATAAATGATTTCTCAAGTGCACGTAAAAGTCTTTATTCTCGTGATCCGAGGTGGAAAGTTTTAGGGGGAATATTTTGGAAGTGTTTCTCTAACGATCAAAGGAACCGCCTACCGTGATAATAGAGGGACGAGGTGGGCCAGTAAAGTGCTCGATAACTTCCCAGTTAGACTTCTTTACAGGGGTGTATGGTGTCTTTGGTGTGTTAGGTGTGTGTGGTGTGTGAGGTGTATGCGGTGTTGAAGGAGTCGAAGGTTTAGATCCTGGTGGATCTAGAAGTAATTCGACTCGTGGTTTGCCACCCTCATTGTTTTCCGGATGTTGTCGAAGACTCGCCCATCTTCTTGTACTTTTCAATGATCCTGTCGTCGATTTAGTATTTCCAACATCGCTCTGGGAACAATTAAAATAACACAATTTCAACACGCATCTATTTTTATTATGATATATTATATTTTATTTGACATAAACACGGTATATTTATTTCTGCTTTGTTGGAATTTTTCGTGCAAGTATTTTTTTATTAATGGTCATCGGATCTTTTTCCTATTGCCTATTTTTTTCTATTTATCTCTCTATCGGATTTTGTCGATTTCTATGAACAAAATAGACCCCGGTAATTCTTCTTTCCTTCTTTTATATCTTTCTTCTATTATTCCAAGTAGTCTTCTATGTTTGGAAAGATCAAAGAACACTATTGTCCGATTTCTATTCCACACGCGTATTTACTTATCTCTTTCCTTCTTTCTTATCGCAGTTTTTAAGAAAACAACAAATCTTTTTAATTCTCGTAGAGACGTATTTTTCTTTGTTATTTTTCTTTGTTATTTTTCTTTGTTATTTTTCTTGTTCTTGTGTGATAAAGTAAACGAGTAAGGTTTGACGATTTTCTAATAAATAATGAAATATATTGGAAATAAGATTTTTCGTACGTAAACGTTCCATGATTTTTTTTTTTTTCTCTAATTTTCTTTTAATTTGACTAATTGTACTTTTAAGTATTTTTCATGTTTTTTTTTTTTTTTTCAATTTCCTTTTAAAGACTTGACAGAAGTAGCAATTGGTCTAGGCACTTTTCGAAATGAAAACCACGTCTGGTACATGCATCCTTCTTTGGCGGCACTTTAAAGTTCACTTTCGAGATTGCCACATATGAAAGATTTATTTCCCACGAGATAAATGTCTATTTAACGAACAAAAAAAATCTCACGACAAACGAGATACTCTTACTTTTAATGCAAATTTATCGAGTTAATAGGAAGTTTCTTTGAAAAGATAAGTAGACACTTGAGATTTGAACGATTAAAATGATCGTACAATTTTCAAGGGTAAAAGAAATAAATATTAATTATTTAATATGCGTGTGTTTCCTCATTATATATTAGAAAATTTCTCTTTTATAGGTAATATTAACTGGAACTTACTAATTATACTTTAATCAAGCAGAAAAATATATGCTTGTTCATTCCTCTACAAGAAACTAAGGAAGAATTTTACTTGCGCTAATAAGGAAACTTCTTTTCCTTACTCATTTACCTTGTATAAATAATTAATTAGATTAATGTAAGGAAGGAGCGATTAAAAAAAATATAAAATTAGCTTCTTCTTCGTTCAGTGGGATCAACGTTTTACCTTGTACTTCATTTTTAGCGGTGAGAAAAAAAAAAAGAAGAAAAATAATTAGAATACGACGTCACATATTTAATAATTCAATACTATTCAAGTTATCCACGAATTTAATATTCTCTGTACATGTTCTTTAACCCTTTGAGTGTTGAATACTCTCGAAAATATAAAAAATTAATTTTATTCCCGATAGAGAAATTACATAATTTAATGTTAGAAGATACAACAAAATATATGATTATTCGTAATTATAATATAAATTATTCATACGAAACGTGATACGTGATACGTGATACGTGATTTCCACAAATTTCTATTTCCACAAATTTCTATTTCCACAAATTACACGCTTCTATCCTTATCCCTTTTTTAAAACATCTTTTTCATGTTTCGAACGTACTCTCGATCGATACTATAACTTTGCATCGTTAAAATGAATAATAATAAGAAGTATTCTCGATGGAAATAAGAATTGAATCTCGTAATATGAATTACTTATGTTTCTCCGAGATAGATTTTCCACGAGAATAATTCGTCATTCGTCTAAACGAAAAATTGATAAGACGAATTAGTACCACAGATGTTCCGATAACACAAAATCCGATATGCATATATATTATATGTATATATACATATATATGTACTGAATATATTGTAGAATTTAATTACAAAGATAATAAAAGCACGTCGGTGCTAAAGATGAATCTTTTTCCTTTTTTTTGTTTTTTTTTTTTTTTTAATACGATTCAAAGTTATCATACACGAATGAAATTCTTTTCTATCTCTTCCGCATATTTGGTAAATTTTTTACAGCTATCTTGATATGATTTCACCGACAATTTAATCTTCAAGACATGTATATTTTAACGTTTCGTACATTATACGAAATAACAGGTAATTCATGAAGCGTTATTGCCCAAATGAAACCTAATTACACATCGTTATCGTTTGAATTATCGTTTGAATTATCGTTTGAATTATCGTTTGAATTAATTATCGTTTGAATTATCGTTTTTAACCTAGTCTTGATCGAGTGTAAAGGGTTCATAATAATTACCCTCAAATCTTTATAAATTATGAAAATTATGTAATAATTATTTTCTCTTATCTACAATATTATGACGTTGCGCTATTATAGAATTTCCCAATTACATTTTGAATTCTAGTTCCAGCCTTCTCTCTATATTATACAATATAATATAATATAATATAATATAATATAATATAATATAATAGAAGGGAAACTCGATAGCCATTTCAACATAGAATACAGGGAACGTTCAGATCATGAATTTGACGATTCTCCGATAACAAATTTCTCTTTGATAAGGTAAAAAGAGTAAGTAAAAATAGGGATGAACAAGAATAATACTTTGACCCTTCGAAAAAGAAACCTCAGGATTTTTTCTTCTTTTTTTTTTCATTCTTTTTTCTATTACTCAAATAGTATCCACCTATCCTGCGGTCAAACGAAATTACATTTCTACGAGTGTGCTAGAGTTTTTCCAACATCACTTTATACGAAGATGATAAAAAAAGAAAGAAAGAGTTTTGCGTGTATGTGTATGTGTGTGTGTGTGTGTGTGAGTGAGTGTGAGAGAGAGAAATGTTAAAGGAAATTGGTGAACTCTCGTGTTAACGATCTCTTTTCACGCAAGACTAAACTTTTTCTTTTTCTTTTTCTTTTTCTTTTTCTTTTTCTTTTTCTTTCTCTTTCTCTTTCTCTTTCTCTTTCTCTTTCTCTTTCTTAGGAGTACTCAAAATTGTCGACGATAATTCTTCTTATCCTCCGAAAGAGGATCGATTAACTACTGGGTATCGTGTTAACGAGCCCACCTAACTTGTTCCGAGTTAAAAGGTGATGAATATAGTGACTCACAAACATGATAGAAAGTATGCACTTCTTTTTAATTGTCCGAACGTTCAGATTTATTCGATTCACGTGTTTCTCTCTTCTTTTTTCTTTTTTTTAAGTGAAAACATCTTTCAAATCGTTGTGATTTTTGAAACTCTATGAAACGCAATTAATGTGTGAACTGCACGCATGTATTTTTTGTTCTTTTCAACATTGTGGATGTTAAATAGCAATGAGATTCGCGTAATTAAATTGCAAGTTAAAAAGTTATTATAGGTAGTCATAATTAGATATGCCTTTTTGTTTCTTTTCTTTATTTTAGTCAGAGCAAAAGTAATTTCGCGTTAACCTTACGTTTTTTTTTACTTTTTTTCTTTTGTTTTTTTTTTTCTACATTTCAAAGAGTTAAAAGACATTGAAAATATTTCGTAAAATGATTGTTGTGTATGCGCGATTATTTTTTCATATCGGCTCGTATAATTGTAATCTATAAGTTACCGAACGACATACGCACAAGTATTGTTTTCTTTATTCTTTTTAAAGGCGCGTGATTTCGAATTTCTCGCTTTTTCTCAATAACATTGATAACGATAATACGAAATGTAGAAAAAATCGTGAAACATTAAAAATAAATGTTAGGAACAGAGGAAATTTACAACTTTAGGAAATGGGAGAAGCATGCATGCGTGCATGCGTGCATGCAAACGTGTTTACACGTTTTTAGACCGATATCATTTTATGGGAATTAGAAAAAGAGAGAAGCTTTGAATTATTTTGTTTTTTTTTCTTCTTCTCCTTATTATATTATTATATGAAATGGTTCGCTAAAAAAAACTGTAATAAATCAGTGGAAGGAAGCGAAAATGAAATGTAAAATAAAATGTAAAAGAAAAGAAAATTTGACACGCGTGGCTTTCTAATGGTCCGGCCTTAGCATGGCGAACGATATTAATAAACACATCAGGGAAAAGGTAAAACCAATCTCTCTTTCTCTCTCTCTTTCTCTCTCTCTTTCTCTCTCTCTTTTTATACGTATGTATGTATATATATATATATGCAGCTGCCGCAGCTGTGGCTAAACACTCCTCTTGTCCTTCGGCTCACAAGCATTACCTTATCAAAAAAATATGATTTTTTGGTAGAAATGTGTTTCGCTAACTTCTATCAGCTTGTACGTTCCTTATCCTATCGGAGTCGTTAGGATAACTCATATTTCACATAAGATAAATCAAAGTCATAAATAAATAAATGAATATAAATATCATTTGAAAATAAAAAGATTTTAACGCGGATTGTATTAAAAACACTCAAGATATTAAATTTCCAACAAGACGACATATTATCGATATCGTTTAATAAAAAATAAATGAAAAATGGGTACCGGGATAAAAAAATGAAAACGTTTTTATACAATTGAACGTTCGTTATTTTTGTTTGATTTCTACGTAAAGAAAAATATTGAAAAAGTATTTTTGTTGAAATGCGGGTGGGTTCATATTCAAAGAATCTGCGTCGTAAAGAAATTAAATCAATTCGGATACACAAAGAACAATTCGGATAAGTTTTTAATTGCATTCCGTAACTCGATCGCGTTCTCCGGTTCCGAGGAAAAATAAAAAGATAAAAGAAACAAGAAATTGACTTTGAATGTTCTCGGTGGTATATCGTGAAGAAGAAAATTGTTCTCTCTCTTTCTCTTCCATTATTTTATTTCAAATATTTTTCCTCTGCATTTCCAGTTTCAATGAAATTGTGAACATTTTGAAGAAAAGTTAAAAAAAGGGAGACGGAGAGAAAGAGAGAGAATGAAATTGTAGAAATTTTCTTATCCTTTGTCAAGCTCGTTGAAATGTTAGGACGAATGAATAGTAAAAAGGAAATGAATTTGAAATAGTATGATTAACTTTATTGTCTTACCTGATGACTTCTTCTACTTCCACGCAAACTAAGCCTGTGACTCCAGTCACGTTTAGGAAATTCCACTCCGTACTTGTCCATTCTTTATTTTTCCCTTTTCTTTTCCCTTTTCTTTTCCCTTTTCTTTTCTTTTCTTTTCTTTTCTTTTCTTTTCTTTTCTTTTCCTTGACAAAGTTGATATTATACGGGGTGATATCACCTTTACCTTTCTGTTATTTCATGTTTCTCCTGTAAAAAAGAATAATAAGAAGAGAATGAAATATCAATCGTTATCGGAGAGATACGCTTTTATCGTCATATTTTCTTTTTTCCTTCCCTTCCCTTTCTTTCATTATTTTTCAACCCCCTTTCTCAATCATATCTCTCGATGAAAGTATATTCATGTTTTATTAATCCTGCTTATAGAAGACACTTATATCTAAACGCGTCTATAAGATAGAAACTATCGAAAGAAAACTTTTTATTTATAATTTCAACAACTTAACGAAAATAGAAAATATCGGTAATCGTGTATCGTTACGTTAGGTATTAACTTTTGAAATTATTTGCAATTGTAATGTGTGCATTAAAAAACAAACAAATTATCGGAATTTTTCATAGTTTCAAATTGCTAATCCTCTTTATTATTATTATTTCCCTCGTACTTTTTATCTTCTTCTTTCTACCTCCTGTTTTATCTTTTTATCTTGCGCATACGTGCTGTGACAGCATTTTCTTCACGTATTATCCTTTCCCGAAACACCGAGTCCTTTTACGTAAGACACACTTTCTAAATTACCTCGGTTCTCTTAACTTGTTTAAGTAAACTCAATTTAAAGCTCTGAGAAATTTACTCTATTTTTATTATTTTTTTATTTATTTCTTTATTTTTTGTTATCTGATTATTTAAAAGTGTTTACCATTGTCAGGAGCGTTAACAACTTTAGTAGTTCTTTAAAACGATGCTTAAACAAGTGTCGAGTGGGAGAACGAAAAAGTTTCATAACTCATCGAACTTTTATAACAACGGTAATAACGTCAGCATGTCAAACATGGAAACGTTTAAAAAAAAAAAAAAAGAAAAAAAGAAAGATAGAAAAAATAAAAAAAGAAAAAGTTCCTCTCGACTGGTAGTTTATTGGATTTGCTATCATGTAGTTGGATAACTACATTAGCATTAACCCAATTTGATGCATAGTGGTTCCTCACTTCCTCACCACCTTGTCTCCACTCGTCGTGGTCTTATGATCAATTTGTTCTAGGCATACATGTACATATATGTAAATTTATACTTGCACATACGTAGAGTATACGTGCACGCACGTATAAGCCGGAAGCCAATGCATACATTTTCTCTTAACCAACAAATAAATCTTTAATTTGACCACCATCAAATAAATGTTGAATTGTTTTGATCGATTTAATGGTAATTAACGAGTACTCGATATAATTATTGCGTTGAGAATTATGAATAATAATTATATTATTATTATCAAGTTAGAATTATGTTTGGAAAATTTTCTTAAAAAACAATGCACCCATGTTTCTTCTACCAATATTTCAAATCACTGTTATTCCTAATTGCATCTTGGTATACATACACACGTGCAGGTATATTAAACTGATCATTCTTTAAAAAACAAAAAACTTTCAATTATAAGAAAACTTCAAATTATAAAAAAGTTGACTTATTTAAATTACTTTCAAAAACATTGTGTTCATATCGGAAAAGATTCCTTTGACAGAGATTTAGAAAGGTCATTGTGTTACAAGAGAATCCTCATCACTCGATCATTCATTATGCAATCATGTTTCCTCTTACATCGTTGCACACATACCTTTTGATTACACCGAGTAATAAATCCTATCGTTCTTCAATCACGAGACGATCTTCTCTTATAATACTCTCTCTTTCTCTCTCTCTCTCTCTCTCTCTTTCTCTTTCAAATCATTCTCGTAGTAATAATAAAACAAAATGTAAAAAAAGAAAAAGAAGAAAAATATGTTTCATAACGCCGTCGTTGCATCGTTAGTCGTCTACAATGATAATCATAATGATGATAAAAAGAAAAAAAATAAATAAATATAAACGAAGAAATATATAATATATTCATTTAAAACATCTCTCCTATGCAACGATCTATTATTCGCGTATGTTATTAACTTCTCATGTCACTATACAAGAATTTCTAGTAACGAACATACATATATGCATTTATACATACATACATACATACATACATACGTACGTACGTACATTGATTTTCCTTCTTTGAAGCGATTTTCAAATTCAACATCTTTAAAATAGATAATCGAAAAAAAGATCGATTCAGATATTTGATAAAAGTCTATTACTACCGTGGAGTGCAATTTAAATGCTGCAAATGTTTCTTTTTTTCTTTTTTTTTCAATAAAAAAAAATTTACCACCGACATGTAAAATCGTTCAATATATTTTAATCGAATATTTTGTATTATATTTATTGATACGTGAATTTTTGATTAGGAGCAACAAAAAGGAAACAAGTATAAATGATCAGGGGGAAATACGTATTTCAATAAACTTTATTTATTTTTAATATCTCGACTATAACAATCCTAACAATTATTTTCGTGTTTGATACTTTTTCATTTTTATATAAAGAGGGTAGAATTTAAAAGCGAGGAAGTTTTATTTAACGAGCAAACCGCACAACGTCTCTTTTAATTACTGTAGTTTACGCGAGAGATTTTTCGCGTTATACAAATGGTCTGTTAACAAACAAACAAAATTCATAAAATAGAACCTTATTTTTATTTCATCCCTGTACTGCTGACAGTTGTCAAGCTGTTAAATGAAATACACGAATGGAAGTATGATATATATTTTAAACATACAAGAGTTATACCAAGTATGCAATATCATTGTTACAAATTATTTCGTTTAATACTTATAGAAATAAAAAAATATCTTTCGTTTGTATAGATTACGTAAAGATTATCTAGGAAATAAAATAATATTATCTAATTATCTATACACACACACACACACACACACACACACACACACACACACACACACATCTTTTTTCTCTATACGATCGATTGATCATGCAAAAGATCGTGCAAGTGTCGATGCAATTTTATTATTATATAGGCAAAGATAAATTGAGAGAGATAGATAGATAGATAGATAGATAGATAAAGGGTATGTGTACGTGTTTACCCTTTTGTTTACTCGTGCGAGCGGAAGAACAAGTTGGTCCCTCCCTCCGTCACAATATACTCGTGTCACTTACGTTCTTCCACCCTCGATTTACGTTTGTTTTCGATCCGGAATCCTGGCGCCTATTTTATTACGAAGGCCGACGACGCCACAAGAGACGTTTCAGTCCGGTTAGTATTTTATATATATATATATCTCTTTCTCTCTCTCTCTTTTTCTTTATCAGCCAAAGATACTTCCCTCGTGTATATCACAGCTAAAAGAAACACAATGGACTTTTGATAAAAATAAACTTTACTCGATGATATTACAGATTTTCTTCTTTTTCATATTATCACATTGAACAAAAAAATAATATATTTTAGAATCGAATAAATAGAGATATATAATTAGAGAGAGTATTTTTCAATATGTTTGTTTGATATATTTTCAATTGAGTACATTAATTATGTTATATTATATATTAATGTTATATTATATACAACTGTAATTCAAATTACATAAGATATCAGGAATAAGTGAGGTAATATCGAAAGTAAGAGATAATGGAGAGAGAGAGAGATAAAAATAATAAGATTGAAATATTTTCAAAGTATTTTAACATAATAAAGTTTCGTATTCATTTACTTGTGAATCCTTTCTAATTATAGAAAACTGGTTTATTTATATAATTTTATCGGAGAAAATATATACGTTTGGAATTATTTTTTTTTCATTGAATAATTGCTTCACTCTACGGAACAATTAATTGAAGATATTGAACATAACGTTAAATTCTTCCGGAAGGAATGATAATGAGTGCAGGTACCCTCATGGCCGTCGGATTGCGTATCGTTCGGTCTGATCAAAACCTGACTATACTACTGACTAATGCGTTAACTTCCAGTGACACTCAACTTTTATTGTATAAGCAAGATAAAGTAATAAATTAAATGAATCTAATATATCTAAACTAAATGATCTTATTCTCACATTTGTTAATTTAAAGTAAAATTTGTATGAAATCATCTTGACAAGAAAATACTATAAAAAGTTATAGATTAGACACAATTATTATTTGGTAAGACTGATTGGAATCATTATCAATTGTTAACTAAACCAATTGTAAATCATTTTACGGGTAGATAATTATTTAGTATCGTTAGACACCTTGCTTTACTTACGTCTACAAATTATATCCATAGTAAAAGGATTGATTGTAGAAGGGATTAATGCAATGTGTGACTTTTCATTAGTAACATTAACTATTAATAACGTCATAGATACACCACCCATGGTTATCTCATTTTCTTATTGCATCATTATTGTATTTAAGTTTCAATTTAATCAGTAAATTCTATAAGTTTGATAATAAAATAGAGCTAAAGCCTCGACACACCATCAATTTACTGACATCGTTAATTTAATAACAATAAAATATAATTCTTCTTCATAATTGTCTGGATATTTATAGAAGATAATTGTGTGATAAATCAATTGTTCTTATTTCTTTTTACTTGTGTTTTTTTTTCTATAGTATATATAACTATCTTGACTTTACATGCATTTCATCGCAGTCTCTGATTTGTATACGCTCGAAATAGTATGCATGTATTACATACATACATATGTGTATATATATAAATATCTGAGATCTGTTGAATCCGGAAGAAAAATATGGATCTCTCTCTCTCTCTCTCTCTCTCTCTCTCTCTCTCTCTCTCTCTCTCTCTCTCTCTTTCGTTTTCTATTTTTCTTTTTCGCGAGTGGTCCGAGAGCAAGAAAAGATATTTTTATTTAACTATGAAAAGAAGGCACGACGTTAGACAGAAGGTATTTTATCAGTGACGATAGAAGAAACTAGTGTACGATATAGTACACATACATCCTACGATTATCCGTATCGATCGTTGTGTGTGGAAATATCTGTGGCGGTTACGAGTCGGGTTAAAGATATTTTCAAAGTTATAACTTACTCTAACGTGAATGTTCTTCAATCACGTTTCATTCATTTCATTTTGATATTAACGTTAAATGTCGCATTATAGAGAAATTTTGTTGAAAGAAAATATGAGAACTCTCTTCATTTACTGAATATTTTACAAAGTCATTTAACTTTGAATGGCTATCAAAATTATTATTGTCGAGTTTAATTATATTAAAAAAAAACATTTCCATATTAAATATATAAGCAGTTGAATGTCGATCACAAGTTATTTTACAATTTAATAATAAAAAAAAAACAAACAAAATTCTTAAAAGTAGAATTATGCATTTTGACATGTGAACGGTTCTTACGTATGTATATAAAATAATACAAATGATTTAATCTTCGAGTTAGAGGTCGAACGAAATCGCTAAATTATATCTAATATGCTTTTACTGACTGCAATTATCGGTCAAATGTTCATATTTCGTTGTATCAAAATTAAGTAAGTTTTACGATAACGAGTACGTAGGATCGATATTTCATCGTGGTTGGACACGATTCGCATTATAAATGGGTAACGTAGAGAAATAAATAAATACTTGCAACTAAAGGAAGAATATCTGGTGTCAAGCGATTAGTGAGTTGCTTGTACTTACTAATTGATGATAAAATTCAAGCGTCCTTACCCAACAACACCGGCTCCGGACTCGATGATCTTGACACGATTTTCATTCTCAAAGTTGTACGTAGCTTATTCTTTTTCTTTTTTCTTCCTTTCTTTTTCAATTTCTTTCTTTTTCAATTTCTTTCTTTTTCAATTTCTTTTCTTTCTATCTATCTGTTTTGATTATTTTTTAAATGGCTATAAGTCGAACACGAGTAACAGTAATACCCATATTACCGCTGACCACAGGACAGTTCAAGTTCCTTCGATGGTACAATAAATAATGAAGATATAACTCACAGTTCAAGTTGTTTCTCTTAAACTTCATCACCGCGATCTAAATCTTGATGGATTTAATCGTTTCCACCTGGTTCCACTAACTAAGGATAGATCGGTTTAATTCGATGATATTAGCCTTGATATTCGTTGTTTCAAGGGTCAACAAAGATCAAAGGGAAACGGTGAGACACCGATCGAACCATCGACTATCGAATTGTCAAATTCCAATACTTCATTCGATGATATTCTATTTGTAATAGATCTTCCAAACTCGACTATAGAAACTCGTTGATTTTATTTTCTATTTTCTATTCTCTCTATTTTCTCTAAGATTTAATCATATAATTTTATTTTATTGATTTATTAAATATGTCATATAAATTGATGCACGTGTATATTTAATAATATATATATATATATATATATATTTTGTTAAATGAGATCGATAATCTTTATAAACGAATCACTTTCACACGCACGTTCGTACAATTGTCACGGGTCAAATAGATCTTCTTTCTCTCTATCTCTATCTATCTATCTCTATCTATCTATCTCTATTTCTCAATTTCTTCGTCAGATCCGGTCTATCATAGTGATCATCATGTTCTTTAATAACATCGGTGAACCACGTCCGATCACGCGATGATCCAACGAGATTTCAATCGTGATTTGCAATGTACATATTTTTGTTCTTTTCTTTAATTTTAGTTTGTATTATAAAAAATAATAGAAAAGAGATAAATAAATAAATAATATTGAATATCGGGTATTAGACCGAGAGAGATGACGCGATGCGTTTGACGCGATGCGTTTGACACGGATGCCGCGCGTCGACTGAGAGACCAAGATTGACTGTGGCGGTGCCATTTCACGCCGATTTCTATCGCGCCTGTATAGAAACCTCGTGAGAAACTAGACCAAGAGAAAGAGAGACAGGTAAAAAGAGTTGACTACTACACGCAGAATCCGTCTTACAATTCTAAATTATCAATGTAATTCCCTAAATCTTATAATTTACTATTATGTTATTACATATTTTGATGATGGAACGAATAAATCTTGATCTTTGAACATATAAATTCAATTTCATCAAAATAAAGTTCTAATTCTTTATAATGTTCAATTTCCATGCTATATAAACACATATTTATTAATCATTTTATTTTTCAACGAGAGAAATAACTAATTGGATTAATTTCGTTTATTTGATTAATATTAAAATTCATATATTCTTGTGTACATATATACGTATACAAACAATTTTCGTAGATATCTTCTACCTTTATCAATATTTTCTTTTATCTTATGGAAAGTGTACATGCGTATAAATACGATCAATCAATTATTTATATCTTAGGAGTTTATACAAAAAAATGAAAAATGGAAAAAGATATAAGGAGAAAGGAAGGGAAGAATTTGTAATAGGGACTGCATATATCAACTTGACTACACCCTTCGTGACTTGTAAAATATTTTATTTTGTGAAACACGATAGACTTGACATGTGTGTTGACGAGAACAAAAGAAAATGGAAAAATAAAAAGAGAAATAAAATAAAAAAGATGACAACAAGTGCAGTGTAATAGGAATAAGATAGGGGAAAACGAAAATAATTCTGAATAAGAGGAGGGAAAAAAGAAGAGAGAGAGAGAGGGGGAGAGATAGAAAAAAAAAGAATCCAAAGTACTTTGAAGCTTAGGGTAGTGTCGAATATTAAAGTATACATGGAGCTTTCATTTCTCGTTGTAAAGAACCCTTTTTCACGTTGCAATGGCAGCACAGTCTTCGTCGTTATGTTGTTATTATCGTTGTTATCGTAATATTATTCCTTCGTGGCCCTTAAGATCGTTCTTTTCATCGAAGGTTTCCATTTTAAAAGCCGATCATTTTTTACCATCTCAATTTTATGTCACATAGTAGATGTGTAACGAGAAGAATAAGAAAAGTATACACATATTATGTAGATGTTGTTTTCTTTTCTCAAATTAATTTAACGGTGCAATTCAATGAAAAAATACAGCTCTGTTTATCGAATTTTATTCGAAAGCCATGCAAAATTTGATCCTCGAAGTAATCGCTGCGCTGGAACATTTAAATAAATATTCCTTTGTTGAAAGAATTACATAAAAAGTAAAAAAAATGCTAAAATCAGATCGTTTTAATCTTCATTTCTTTTTATTACAAATAAAATTTTCGTTACACACATGCGCAACATTAGGAAAGTCATATAAACAATATTTAATAAAAGAAATTTTCTAGAGGACAATGACTCAGTCTAATGGCGAATTTTGAAGATGACGGTGCTCCGAATATATACTCAGTGCTTTTAAATTGCAGTACATATTTTTTTTTTCGATTAATTAACCATTATTTTAATATTCTACTTATATTTCAGATTAATTAGACACATATACATTGAATTAAACATTACATACTTATTAACCCTTTGCACTCAAAGCCTTTTTTGCAAGCGCAAAAGCGCCTTTGATAAACTGTAATTTTCCGTTTGTCAAATTAAAGCCATCTCATGTCGACATCATCTTCAATAAGTCCTGCTTTGTAACGTTAGAATAATAGATCTTGTAACGATAGAATATCGATCATGGAGGATAGATAGAGATAATAGAAGCTTGCGAATGATAACTAAATTGCGTCAAGAAATTTATTCCTTTACCGTAGGTAAATCGAATAATAAAATATTTCTACCGACAACGACAGTCAAATTCCTTTGAAACACCGTATGTATGACATTTGAAAGAAAAAAGATCGCATTATCTGGACTTGAATATTTTCTACATTTGTACTATTCCATTTTTTTGTTTCCAAACGAAATGTGAAATCTTTGAGAAATTATATTTTTTAATTTTATTTTATTCAGTCATTTTTTGTTCTCTCTTTGATGAAAATTTATTAGATTAGATTAGCAAACGAATAAAGACGCGTTTCACATAGATGTTTAATATCGAGTAGTTTTCCTTTCGATCTGTCGAGTACTACGCGTAAACACATTCTAAATATAATACCTAAACGTGGTCCCAAAGAAGTCCACTCTGCTTTACCGGATCGTATTAACCTACTTCTTATCGATTCTCACACTGGGGTTTCTTCCTTTCCCCCCTACACATTCGTACAATATAGTCAAGAACATAGGCTTCGAAACGAAGAATCATACTCAATGGACTTTAATCTACTTTCTTATATTTTTCTTCCCTTTATTTTCTTTTTTTCCCCCCTTCATTTTATTTCTCACCACGACCGCAACGTCAAATTACTGTGTTGAACGTCAACATTTTTTTCTTCTCACGAGAAATAAATGAACGAATTTATCCATCCCCAGGCATATATTATATTGATTTTTAATTTTCCTTTTTTCTTTTTTTTCGAAGATAATAAAATAAAATGTCAGTCGCGTCGATTGTTATTATTCTCGTTACAATTATTAATTCGAGGCAATTCGTGAAAAGATACGAAAACGAGTCGCAAGAGGATCATATTATCTTTCTCGCTCTTACTTTTCTACGAAATCGTTTTAACGTTCTTCGTGTAAGTACAGAGATGGGAAAAACATATCAACGTGAATCACCATGCTCTCGTCTCTTTCTCTCGTCTCTCTCTCTCGTCTCTCTCTCTCTCTCTCTCTCTCGTTCTATTCCTAAAGTTGTTCTTGATAACGCGACTACACTTTCGTCCAGAATACCGTACACGAAAGATATTTGCCGTCCCATTTTCTTTTATACTTTCTTTGACCTCAAGATGATATCTTGATTTTCTCTATAATATTATAAAACTCGTGTGCAATTATTATCGTTTTAATAATAAAGAAAAAAAGAAGAAATCAGATTTATACGATGCCATGAAACTTTTTGATTTTTATTATAAAAACGAAAAAATGGAAATATGCATATACGTATAATTATAATTGTAAGTAGATGCATAATCGGAAATTGTGAAATACACTTATCGTATTAAACTTAGGCATACGTATAATCACAATTAAATAATTGAAATATTTTGCGGATCAATTTATCGAAAACGATTTCGTGTTGGTGTGGTAACGTTACAAGTAGTAAAGGATCATCTCGTTTATGTGTTGAATGATCAAAGATGGTAGGTAAGGGCGCATGTGCGAAAGCTGTCAGAAACGGTACGTTCTCGAATCTCAACGGTACTTCTACATACCTTGTAAAGTGTTCAAAGCCAAGCTAACTGAAACCCCGCATACGTAATAGACAAAGATCATCTTTTATGCACAATTTCATCTATTATTTACCATGCTTGAGTCGAAAGCTCAAATTATTTTCAAATGTAAAACAATACTCAAATATTAACAAATGTTAATTTCATTAATTCATATTTTTTCAGAACTTACAAATCTAAAAAGGATTATAGATCGATATAAAAATAATGATTCGAAATAATTATCGATCAATAAGACGAAACATTACATCCCAATACGAACAACGTATTGAAATTTATGCATACACTATCTTCTATATACATATACTATTATTACATCATGTTAGTCACTTATCTTTGATAGATATTAAATCGTGATATTTCAAACGATCGTAAAAATTGTTCCTTAAAATTTATACGTCATTCTTTACATAAGCGATAAAAAAGTTAATTATTGTCAGGAAACAATAAAGGAGTCTTAATTTCTGATTTTTTATTTAATCCATATTACAGAAAAACAAACAATTATTATAGTTTAATAGAAAATTACAGCGTAAAAAATACAGATATTGATAAAAGTAGAAAGAGATGGTTTACACCGAAAGCTCTAGATCGTTACGGCCCTGAACAAGGCCGTACGTCGTCGTACTGGTGAATGTACCCACCTCACGAAGTAGTAGCAGTCGTTCGACGTCAGCCAAACGATGCGGAGCTTGCGTTTACGTAATCTACAATTTCTCGATTTTGATTGCATTTAAATCGATGTCACAGCCGGTTAACGTGTTCCTATCTTATTATTATTTTCATCTCCGAATTAATTTTTGAGTAGGACAAACGCGCGGATGCGCAATATACGTTGGGAAAAGGCGCGCACGCTTATAAAAGAAAACAAAACAGCAGCGCAAAAAGGGAGGAATTTGGTGGTTAAGGTGGCGGAAAAAGAAGGAGAAGGAGACAACGACGACGACGACGACGACGACGACGACGACGACGACGACGACAACGACGACGACAACGACGACGACGACGACGACGAGGAGGAAGAAGAGGAAGAAGAGGAGGAGGAGGACGAGGAGGGGGTGGAGGGTGATGGGGTGGTAGGGCGCTGGGCGGTGTCAGGTAAGGTCTCCCGAGACTTACCCCTTTTACTTTTTTCTTTTTTTCTTTCTAATCCCCAGGGTGTTAACCCACAGTCCAGAAGGACAAAAATCTTCTTCGACAAAGGAACAAAGAAATAATAATAATAATATATTAATAATAATAATAATAATAATTATAAAATAAATAAATGTTTAAAAATGAAGTTTTTGCAATATAATTGTGCATAGAAGATTTTTCGTTATCAAAGGGAAAATGACGACAACGTTTACCTCGTTCGGTTAAGCTCGGTCGAGTTCGGTTTAATCTCACGAACATGACCTAACCTTTTTGTTCTACTGCGTACCATCGTGCATATTTAGGCTACTTTTTTTTTCTTTTTTGTTTGTCTATTATTTGTTTGATCGAAATAAAAACAGGGGTTGGTGGGGATGCATCGCGAATAAGGCGCGAATAAATACGTAAGTAAATGTATAGATAGGTTTGTTTTTTAAAGTAGTAGTAGTTGCAGTATTGTATAAAGGATAGTATGCATTTAGAAGCAATGTATAGAAGCTTTTGTTTTCACGGTTAATACTCCGATGGACTCGAAATTTAATCGATAAACGAACTGCTTGTTGCCGTTGCGGTTCCATGGAATGTGTCTTACGAAAAAAGCTTGCTAAACCTTCTAAAAAAGTAGTCCTTCGATTCCACCGCCTTCGTAAAATAGTTCGATGATAGTAAGGGTGGGTTTTGGGGTAGGTTTTGGGGTAGGGGTGGTGAAAAGCCGGTTAACTCGCTTCGTTAAGTTTGCAAGACGCTACTCTCTCTCTCTCTCTCCCTTTTTTTTTCACTCTCTTTCTATGCATTTCTCTGTCTCTTTACATTCGCGCTTCTCTCAAGTCAAGTGCTCTCTTCTTCCTACTTCTTCTATTCTTCTTTCTTTCTTCTTCTTATACTTACAACAAGCTTTTTTCTAACCCTCTACTGTCTTTCTCTTTTTAGTACAATCTTGTAGAACGTTGACCCTTCTTAATTCGTTTCTAGTACTTAGTTACTATTCTCTTATAAGCCCGACATCTTATGTATATATATATATATATAGAGAGAGAGAGAAAGAGAGAGAGAAAGAGAGACATGTATTTTTCTTTTTTCTTTCTTCCCTTTTTATTCTTTTTATTTATTCCGTAAAAAAAGTGTGAGTGACCTACCGACCGATCTTTTTCACATAAAAATTTCTCAATCTATATGTATTCGTTGAAGATTTATTTTGTATATGTATATTTATCTTGTATCTATGTATTTTTTTGTTATTTTAAAGATATTTTTCAAAAAGAGAGAAGATTTATTAAAGAAACATTCGCTTAATAACTATTACTTATCAAAAAATAGTTAAGTCAGAATTAGAGATTAGAACTTTTTAATGATTTAATTAAAAAAATGAAACTTTATCTGACACAGTAACGTTGATCGAATTAAAAAATGTTATCTAACAAATTTTAAAGGGAAAAAAGAAAGAGATAATGAAGATACTCAATAAATGAACAAATCGATTCACGCAAAATGGATTCGCAAAGTGAATTGGAACTTTATAGTAATAGGTATACCAGGAACATTTGTTTTAACTCGTGTATTCTTGTGTTATCGGATCGACGACAGATGTTTTTTAAAATCCCAATAACGTGAATAGTAAGAGCAGTATTTTTTGATATTTTATTTTATACAATTTTTGTTCGTTTTTTTTGTTCACTCAACCAAGCGTGTTTTATTATCTCGCGATATGCGTGTCATATTATAACGTCGAGGATTTAAATAAAAAATAATAATGAATAAATAAAAGAGAGAATCCGACCATTTAAAATGAAATAATCGTAGGAATGATTCGCAGCATTTAATAACAAACATTTATCCATTTTTCGTATCCCTTTGATCAACGATAATAAAGTTCACTTGTGTTCTTTTACGTTTTATTTTAAAAAATAATATATCGGGTAACGAAAAAACAAATGTATATCTCTTTGAGAAATTTTTTCGTGTTATCTGAGTTATTTTAATTAATAATATGTTCTTTTAGATTAACCAAGAAATGAGTGTAGTTTTAATCAATGAAGATAATCGATACGCAAACTAAAGAGCAGCGAAATCTTTCTTGTTTAATTAATATTTGTTTTTTCTCTCTCTCTCTCTCTCTCTCTTTTTCATTGTTTGATAATATCGTAAAAGAGTGGAAGTTTAAAATGCGCCACTTCGCGATATCGATCTCGGTATTGTTTTCGAACATTTCATTCGATCGAGTACGCTTGAAAAGGCAGCTGCATTTCAACTTCATTTCATTTCGATTCACATTTAACCTTTGACTTCTTTTTTTAACCGATAAATGTTCAAAGAGAAAATTAGAGCCTTAGAGAGAGAGAGAGAGGTATCCTTCAACGTATTAAAACGTATCAAACGAATTCAATGTCAAGTGAGATAGAGAGAAAGAGAGATTTTAATGTAAAAATAAAAAAAAAAAATAAGTAACGTAAAATAATAGTTAAAAGTTGGTTTATACATATGAGGTTTCTTCGATTGCAGAAATATTAGTTATATCAACTAACCGCAAATCTGGCGAACCTGGGAAATCTCGCGAGTTGCGTCTCTACGATGATAGACGACGAGGAACAAGAAGAGCTACGGTGTACGGGAAGTGACGTTGAGATAGAGGAATACACTGATACGGAAGAGTCACCATACGTCGGTGCTTATCGTGCCAGTTCCGATAAACTTTTCGACAAAAATAAAGCGACCTGGCAAAAATGCACATTTTTAATCACCCTATTTACCGTGGTTGCATCCGTAACAGTTCTTGTTATCGGTTTTCCACTATATCTCGAAAGCATCAGTGCCGTATCTAACGGTTACACTGGTAAGTCGGTGTGTATGTATGTGGGTGTCTGTCTGCCTGCCTCCGTTATCCCATCCATTTTGATAAAGTAAATTACAAAAGTTTGACAAATATAATAATACGTGAAAAATATTCAAATAGATATAGGGGTAACGTATTTTAGTTATTCTTTATTAACGATTTTTCACTTTATCTTTAAAACGATAGTGTCATTTCTAACGTTTATATTCGGTAATCCGATACGTGTATGATGGATGATCATATATTTTTATCGAGTACTTTTCAAAATGGATTTTCAAATTGTATGCATGAAAAATATTCGAATAGACATAACGTGTTTATAAAAAATAGCTTTTGCTATCGGTTATCCATTTTTCAAGTGAAAGCATCATAAGCCAATGTGTGATCATTCATTTTCATCGAGTAATTTTTTCTTACAACATTGTAATAAATATATGAAAAATATATTTAAATAGATATATATATATATATATATATATATATATATATATAATAGATAAATTCTTATACTAAGGATCTTGTTAGTATGAAAAATATTTTTATCAGACGAATTGTCGGCAAAGTGATTTCTTATTCAGGCAATGATGAAATACAAAATGTATAGGATAACTTATGCACAAAGATAGTTTGAGAAAAGAAAAGAAAAAAAAGAAGGAGTTAGGTGAATTACTTCTATATAATATTGTTGAAATAAAAATAATATTATTTTTTCCTTAGGTCTTCTCTTTAGTGCTCTCGGCTCTGCTTGTATCCTCGGTTTCGTTTACTTCGTAACCGATAAAATTTCTCCACCTCCACCGTTGGTACCAAACTCTATGAGAATAAGAATACCACGCTGCATGCTTATCAAAATAAGCACAATTTATGCTCTTTCTGGTATTCTCGTTGCCCTATCTCTCGATCAGAATCGAGTTCTCTGTCATCTGCAGGATCCGATCAAAGGCATCACTCTACTTTTCTCCCTGGTTTATTATTTCTTCTTCTCTCGCAAAAGTAAGAGATATATTTCATCGAAAATTAATCTTATATTCGATTATTATAAATCACATAATTTATTAGAAACAAAATCTACAAATATAAATGAATGTGAAATTAATGAAATTTAAATGATTATTTTATGAATTTTTCTCGTATTATTTTGTAATTGTTTAAAATAATAATGTACACGTTTTAGTGATGAGCCTCCAACGAATATTCGCAAGCACTACGATAATAGTAGGCCTGTTTATAAGCGTGGACTATGGTCTTTGCGATGAATTTCGTTGTAGAGGAAGAGAAGTGTCAGCTCATACAGCGACGATGAGAGGATCCTGGGGCGTCAGAGCTGTCTGGACGTTCGTTTACGTGGGTGCACTGGCCGCTTTTGCGATGTTCTTCACAATGCTAGAGCGTCATTATACGACTGGGGTAAATTTGAGGATTTTTTTTCTATCCAATTAATTACTCACCCAATTAACTATAACGTTGCTCATTTTCTTCTCATTCCAAAGAAAAAATAAAATATATGCGAGATAATATAATATTTTTGGAAATTATTTCATGATTATTCTTAATCACGTATCGTAAGATAATCAATGGCAAAATATTTCAATGGATTTTCAATGGAAAAATGATATAATTTCGTACAATTTCGTTCCGACAGCAACAACATATTTGTCAATTACTGACAACTCAGCCAAATTCTTTTCTTTACACCGTATCTCGTTTGGTATCTTCTCGTGACATCCGACGAAGAGGATCAGAAGAAGAGGGTGGAAGATTGTTGCACGTTACAGATCCGGATCCAACGATAAAGCCAAAAAATTATCCAAAACCGCCAATCCTTCAGACTCTTTTTCACATACATGTAATCACATTTTTTGCGATCCTTACATTGTGTTGGTTGGACACGTTACCTGGCATTGGTAGGGTAGGTATCATAACAAATAAAAATAACATTGAAATATTTGATGGTTTTTATGCCTGAAAACTGACAAAAAGAAAAAAAAAAAAAAAAAGAAAAGAACAAACTTATAATATAATATATCATTTTATTTTGAACATAATCAAATAATTTCGCACGGGGCAAATTTTGGATTTGATATGCGCGCACTCGTTTCAATTAGAGAAACAGAAAGATCAATGTTTTTTTATAAAATTCAAATAAATATGATTAAATTTAGTGTCGAGTTGTTGTTTTAACTTTATTTTAGGGGCTTTCACCAGTCGACTTGTATCGTACCGTTGAACACGGTTTATCCTGCCACTTTAAAACAATCGACTCTTGCTCGAACGTATCCAGCCATGCTTGGATTTGTCTATTAGCTTACGTAATATTCGTATTATCGTCCCTTAACTTTCTGTCGATGTGCGAGAGTGCAGTCTTTACTGTCGCTGCAGCTACAGTTTCTCTTCCTCTCTCTGGCATTTGGTGGAGTATTTACAAAATGAACGTCGGTGCAAACGGCGGTGAGTTTATTAAAGTTCACATAAACGCATGCATGCATGCACGAGTGAGATGTAACTATTAGGACAATGTTCCGAATAGAAAACCGAAACTTTTCCCTATTTTTATTATCACAATTATTATCTCTATTAATATTATTATATATATATATATTGTTATTAATAAGTTGTGTGTGAAATTGAATTGTGTCCTGTGTTGAAATAGGTTTTATCGTATGGTCACCTGGAGTAACAGGTGAATTAATTTGCGCATTACTCGGTCTTCCCGTTGTACTTCTTGGTTTGGGTTTACTCGTCAGGTCTCACTTCAGGGATACTCAAGCTTCTTATCAAACTATACAACCTCCTGACATACAACGTGATTGTCACAGATAAATCCTTCCTAAGGTATTGGTATCTTTTTAGATATATATATATATATATATATATAAATTGCATCAACAGTAAAGAAAATTAGAAATGAAAGAGATAATAAAACGATCTGTATACATACGCACACATACGACGATTATCTTATACGTCTGACAATTTTTTGAGAAAAAGATTTTTAAAAAAAAAAAGGTGTAAAAAAAAAGAAGGATAATACGAAAACGAAATTGCGGAAGGAATGATGAAGGGTCTCTGTTAACAATTAAAAGAGGATCGATTTTTCCTATCTAACGCCAACATAAGCAAAATTATCCGTCGAGCAACAGAACGTTATTGCCAGTTTATATTTTATTTTGATATAACGAAGCATTCTGAAGGAAAAAAACGGAAGAAAAAAAAATTATATATATATATATATATATATCGAATTACTTATGGGGTTTTTTTTCTATCTCTTCTATCAATTTTCTTTTCTTTTTAATC